GTGACACTTATGTTTTTGCATACTCTACATCTCTTGAATGAAGCAGCATGTATCACCCACTGCTTAGCCTATATCATGTGAATAACCAAATTGTGAAGATGATTCATTGTACACACCCACAGTGAAGAGGACCACAGACCTATATGTTTGACACTGAATTAGATGAATGAGAAAAATACAAACATTTCTTCAGGCATAAAAAAACAACTGATTCTCATAGATTCTCATTCTCAATTACTGAAACAACTAAGATACTCTCATTAATCATAGTGATAGAATCACTGTGATCAATGACGGATTTGAATCGTATTTGTGTTTTCTTCGTAGTTAAGTCTGCAATTCACAGGAATAGCTTAAAAAGGGAAAAAACTGAGCAGTAATTGCAGCATCATCAGCAAGATTGCAGCCTCTGGTATTTAGTGTTTTTGTTCATTTCATGAACTGCAAAGACACAAATCATACTGATTCAAATATCTTGTCCCAACAGTTCACAAGTCTTTACATGAAACATAAAGACTAAAGCTTGAAGTTGAATCTGAACTCAGAATGATTTCCATATAATGCTAGCTGGTGGTGACATAGACAGTTTTAGCTAAAACATCTTAAGCCTAGCTTATTCATCTGACTATAGGTAACAATTTTCATTAACCTTTAAATAAGCTTTGGGTTGGATTTCACATAAAAGTTTTGTTAGCTAAGAAAAACTAAAGTTGGTTTAATGTGTCAAACAGATCCATTCAAGTATGAAAGCAAGAGTACAGCAGTCCATACAACATATGAAGTGAAACATTCGTTGCTTTGATTGTGTCAATGTGTGTTATGTAAGTTTAGAATAGTGCAATCTCCAGCACAAATTGGTAAAGAAAGACAGTTAATGGCTAATCTCTTTTATCAGTCATGTAACTTTGGTGACACATTGCTTGAGTAGTGTTTGCATCAGAGCAGATGTTTTACAATAAGAATGTACTGTTCTGTGTGAGGATTTCCTTAAAAATAGTGTTTGAGATGCATAACAAGAATGCTTCAATGTTTCAGGTTTTCTTGTGTATTTCTTCAGTCTCCACCCATTTCCATAGACAATTTTACTTTATTCAAATGATATAAGCCAGCAATGAAGAAGCTAAAGAGAAACTCAGACTAGGCTACTCGTGCAGTGGAAATGTACAACAAGCAGAAATGATCGCGCTCATAATGATGCTTTAGGTCACTATTGTGACCACTGGAATTATTTTCGTCTTATCTGTCTTTTAGCTGAGGTTAATTGTGTCTCATGTTTCT